TTCCTAATAAGTAAATACTATTGTCAAATGATCAATTCCCCTCGGAGCAATTGATTTCACAGGAATCACAGGGTTAATTTGTTCAGGCAAATGTGTGTGCTTGGCCCAGGGGCTGATACTGTGTCGAAACACTGAGCCGGAGATTCTCCATTTGAATCTTTGAAATTTCGCACGATTACGCTGGGTTCTTTTTCATCATCGCAATTCCACGGTCTCACTACGTCCATCAGTGACAACTGCCCAATAAAACGATCTTATAAAATCTAGTAATTTTTTTTTTACATATTTAAAACCATTGAGAAATGAAATGGCTTTGGATTGATTGCCGTGCAGCCTACTCTTGGGTAGCAGGGCACAGGAGAAGGGGCAGCTCCTCTAGTGTGAATAATAAACACATTCCTGCGGAGGGAGCTGGTAGGAACGTTGGGTTGCTCGGTCAATGGCCAGGGTCAACGGCGGCACCACGTGGTGTATTCCGCAAATATGCCTGACTGTGAGGGCGGGCACAAGCCGGCGTGAGTAGGTTAAACGTTGAGTTTTATAAGGGCACCACGGGGTGACCAGCCCCTCCCCACCCAGCCCCACCCCTCCCCACCCAGCCCCACCCTTCTCACCCCCCACCCAGCCCCACCCTCCCCACCCAGCCCCTCCCCACTGTTGTATATATAGGCCTTTTTCCATTTTTGTTTTTGATATTAATAAGGATTTTGCCAAATATTTTTTTTCAATCGTGGTTGAACAACCCCCTCCACTCAGAGCAGCCGCCATTCTCACACACAACAGGCCGCCGGAGATAGCAATACAAAGTAATAAACCCAAAACAAAGAGGAAAAAGGGGGGGGGGGGAAACTACTAATGAGACTCGAGGGGAACTCTACAGGACTTCAATCACCCTCTTTTTGAGAGCACAGACAACCAGACGCCACTCACAGGCGAATTCTAAAATAATTTTCCCTTTCGTTACTGCTAATACAACGGTTAAAGTTCAGAACTTAGCAACAAATGAGTCGACATCATAGACTGTCCACACACTCACTACGATTTTAAAAAAACCAGACTACAATCTACATAGCGGGTTATTACTTCTAATACATGTCATATTAATACTAATGTTATTCACCTTAAATTACACTACATCTTGCCGTTTACGTGACCTTACAAACACCAAGGAATATGAATTCCAACCGTCAAGAAACTTACCTCTATAACTCGGGACATCAAAAAATGACTCTAGTATAACAGCAAGGATCCCCGGATACAGACGGGGAGACGAAACTAATAAACCCTAAAAAATACGTGGTGATGACAATGTTAAATCACAAATCTTAGGAAACATAAACCAAATAATATTTATGCAGTATTAAACCGAGGGTTGTCGAGAAGGGATGAGGCGAAATAGGTCAAACTTACACAACAAAGATGAACTGTGTTGCATAGGAAAAGAGCCTCCCAACCGTCTTTGTCTTCCCACAGCACAGGATAGCAAGGAACGTAACACCCAGAGCGAGGTAAATGACTCTGTTTATTGCAGGGGGGCATCTGTGTCGCACGGATGCATGGATGGCTTGAGGAGGGCGACGGTGATCACAGGGAGAGACACAGATGGCTTAATAAATGACACACACACACAGACACCCGTACAGCCCCCCCCCCCCCCCACAACACAGAGCGAGATCAAAGGAAGTTCCGGTCCTTTGTGAGCGGGCGAGCGGAGTAAGGAATTTTTGGCATAAAAGCGACAAGCCAGCATTGAACAGCAGCTACCAGCGGCAGAAGACGGCGACCATCAGCTCGACAAGAAGACACACAGCAGCTCGGAAGAGGACAGCAAGCCAGCTCCGGGGCATGGCCTCGAGATCGACAACAATGCGTGTGGTGCATCGTAGAGAAGAGGGGCGAGGTGATGCTCTGTGCTGAGTTCAGCATGGACCGACAGAGTGTCGCTGAAAATTATTCTCAGCATAAAGCAATCAACCTCGAGGAAGGGCGGAGAGGGCCAAACGTCGACCAAGCCTGCCATCAACGAACGAAAGCATCGTTCATCGCCAGAGAGCCGGAGAAAGAGTGAGCGCACAGCAGCGCCACCAGCGCCACCAAACAAGGGTGACAGCTGCCAGCGGACAAGCATTGTGCCGACTCGGCTCATCCAGCAGGGGAGAGAGCCTGACCAGCCGCCCGTGAGCAAGTGTCAGCGCCAGCGAGCGCGCCGTGGGTTCGACCCACACTCACACCGACCAGCCACCAGCTGGGAGCCAAGACAAGAGCGAGGGAACCAGCCGTCGTTCGTGTACCCTCCCCCACACTCACAAACCCACAACGCTCCCGGCGTCTGCTCACACAAGAATTTACCAAAGAGACAATACAAGCATCCACAATAAGAAGACTAATTATAAAGTGGAAGACCATCAGCTGGCCGTGAAGGAATCGCGGCTCATCGAGTGATAAGAATACGTCGTTTATAAGTACATTCATTTTTTTCTTATTTTGTTTTATGTGATTTTACTTCCAACTGCATAAATTACCAATAGATTAATTGATACAAACTAAACTGTTGAAAACCTTTGTCACAAATCTACACGCTCACAGAGATAATATCGTGTTAAACCTGTTTCTTTATCATATAATCTTGTCCACAAATGAATTAAAACTTAGCCAAAGATAAGAATCTCCCATAGGAAGGCACGCACTCCATCGCACACCCTTATTCCAAGACATTTCGTTAATTATATAATCTTGCTGATGAATCTATTGACGTATACTTTTGCCTTTGGGGTATAATAATTTGCTTTTATTGCCTTTCGTATGAAAATCGTTGCATGCATTTTAAGGACTTTTCCTCTCACCAAAATGCTCGTGTTACTCTGATAAAGTAATCGTTTGTTCTGTTACCCAATTAACAAACGTGATCATTGAGGGTTGAATGTATGAATCCATGAAGCCTTAGCCAATTGATGAGTATTTGCTGAAGCACGCGTACTGCCACACACCCTTGTTCCAAGACATTTTGCAATTACATAATCTTGCTCATGAATTAATTACCGTATACTTTGCCTTCAGGACATGTTTCTTTATTGCCTTCGCATGAATGTCGTTGCATGAATTTTTAAGGACTTTTGGTTCCTATCGCCGTGTATGCTCGCGTACTCTGAGGAAGTAATCAATTGTTCTGTTACCCAGTTAACAAACGTGATCATTGAGGGTTAAATGTATGGATCAATGAGGGGAACATCTCCTGGAGTACTGTGTTGACAATTTCAAGCATAAGAATTCGCATATTAGAGTGTTAAGGTTTTGTTTAGAATTAAAATTGCTTAACACAAAGTGTTTGAGTGTTTCTTTCCTGAGTTCATGCGTAATAATCTTAATTATAAGAACTGTATAATGCAGTGAGATTTGAATTTGGAGACCTGACATAACACACTAATACATAATCAGTAAATGTTAAAGCGAGAATAATTGTATTATACCGATCGATAATACGAACCTAGACAACAAAGCCAAGCTTAATCTGGCATACAGCACACCTACATAACTTCATACGATTAATTGTCTTATCCCGATTGATGATACGACCCTGGGCAACGAAGCTAAGCCTAATTATCATAACTGCCCTCATTGGCATAATCACATACATTCTCATAAATTAATAAGATTATATCTCCGAATAGCATAATTTATGCACACACTTACATAAATTAACATAATTTCAGAAAATTACGCATTTTTAAAAAATTTCATTTAATTTTTATATTTTCATTAAATTTTCAATACCCGGCATATACAACCCCACCCTCCCCACCCAGCCCCTCCCTCCCCACCCAGTCCCTCCCCACCCAGCCCCACCTTCCCCACCCAGCCCCTCCCCACCCTCCCCACCCAGCCCCTCCCTCCCTCCCCACCCAGCCCCTCCCTCCCTCCCCACCCAGCCCCTCCCCACCCTCCCCTCTCCACCCAGCCCCACCCCTCCCATTTTTGGATGCACGACGGACGGACACAATAATCCCCAGTGGGCTGGTGGTGTAACCAGGAGGTTCTTACCAGTATAACTATAACAAGTTCTATGGCGCCTTAACACAGCAAGGCATTAACAAGGGCGCCGTTTGTACGCATCTTAAAACGTCTATCACACCGCATGTAGCCAACCGTTCTGTAACAAGAGGCTATGTAAAGAATGCTTTGATTCCTATTGCTATTATTTTGGTACAACGTCGCATATCCGACCATCACGTAGCCACCCAAATCCAATTAACTCCCCATACCGACTGCAGTATTTGTTTTACGGTCTAACTCAAATTTTTAGTTGATGTTCACCATCTGACACTTTCGCATACAGACATTCTTAATATTGCATACATTCGCTTTCAAGCAGTTCACGCTTCATGTTTGTCTTGTAATCTATTTGTGCTCAGTGTAACTGCCATTCTCTATGAATATTCGCGAGTCTGACTTTTAAACCTTTCCCCCCTTACATCTCAGATATGCGACGTTGGAGTGTACAATACCCCCCAAACATGTGTATTTTGCTTGAACATGCATTAGGCATGCAATGAAATGATTCGTCAATTAAAAATAATGATTAGTGTCCTTGTGAAGGTGTCATATCATGCTCGTGAAGATCAGTTATTTACAATTCATGAAAATCGTAAACTAATGTTGCATTACAAGAGGGTCGTTGGAGATGACGACGACTTGATGAATGCCCTCTTCCTGGAGCGGATTGACTGTGGCTGATAAGGACAGACTATCGCTACATTGAGGCTAACGGATAAAACATTAGCTATGTGAACTAAAGATAAAAAAACAACAACAAAAAAGAAGATGCAATCCAGGTACGAACAAGAGAGTAAACGACCCCAGATCATTACAATGTACTGAATCACTGGCGTGTTGGTGGATGAATCACTGCATGCCTTGTGTTATACCTTTCCTCACTGCTCACCTACCTCTGTGTGCTCCTTGGCCTACCACACTGGGCCCTCTGTCTCCTCCTCTCTCCTCAGGTTTGCAGTCAAGGCCTTGGTGGAGAGGGGAGGCCTGGAGCCTGTGGGCGACTCCTCCGAGGAGTTCGTCAACTTCGCGGCCATCTTGGAGCAGGTGCTTAGCCATCGCCTCAAAGGTACCCACCAGGCAGCACCCACCAAGCACCCCCTGTAGGGTTGCCACCTGTCCTGGTTTTCCCCAAGACAGTTAATTTTATTAGAGGTTGCTGTCCTGGGAAATATGTAAGTCTTCCTGGGGATATTAACCCTTTCGCGTTCCGAGACGTCTGCAAGTTGCAGGGTTGGGTGTCCCCATTCACCCCTGAATCTCGGAATGTGCAAGCTGCTCAGCGTTCATTTTATTTAGAGAGGCACATCGTCGCTGTTTGTAAAGACGTTGTACTCGCCGCAGAGAACTGAAGCGACACGACCGAACATCTGTGATGGCTGGTGCCAAACTTTGCCACGCACCCTCCGGGAATGTAATCGGAAGAAAAACTGATCATGTACACGTACGCGTACTTTATCGGAATGGGAAAGAGTTAAACGTCTTAGTGTTTGTCAGATGTCTAATAATAGCGCACCACTCGGGTCAATGGATATACATGTAGTTCTTCTCTCCCCTTGATTTCATGAGATATTCTTCTTCCCATGATATGTCCTGTATTTTAACTTCGGAGGTGGTAACCCTATTCCTCCAGGTGGCACAGTTGGCCTTCCACTCTCCCAGTGCTGCTGGCGGGCAGCAGCCCGTCGGTGTCGATTGTTTCCCCCATTTTATTTTCGACAAGCGGCGATAACACCACAATTTCCACCCTGGGTGTGACATTAAACTGCATCCGGTTGCGTTGCAAAAAAAAATACTGTTCAGCAAAGGAAGGGGGAAACCAAGTCGACTGGCCTCCACTAGGGTATGGCTCATGAACAAGAGTACGGGAAGGATGGCACTTCCAGAGTCAAAAGAGATGGACTCGATGAAGGCTTGACGACGCTGAGCATTGCTTGCATATCCCATAGGTTATATACTGTATCTCCAGGGGTACACTCTTTGTAGAGGCAAGAGTCAGCCGCACATTTGAATGCGATGCAGCTTCACTTTGCTGATCTGAATTAATCAAAAACGGCCATGACTGTTGTGAGCGAAAAACGTTTTGATCGACTGGTTTCTTTTATTTCAATCTAGTGAGAGCCCAAAGAGACAAAGCTTCTCATATTCGTAGGAGACCTCGGTAAATTAACTGAAATAACAATAATTTACAGCCCTGTGTTAATCCGTTGATAGATAAAATCCTCCCCGTGCCGTTTTGGTCGTGGGGGTTGTTTGCCCATATTTCACCATGTTTGTTATTGCACTTTAATAAAGGGGTTCCCAGGATCCATTCACCAGGCTAGTCAATGCGGATTGGCGAAAGGGTGGCCCAGGTTTGGATCCGACATCACTCGCCACTGATATTATAGCCTCGGCCGGGAATTGAACTGAAGGTGCCGGATTCGTAATGATACGCGTTAACCACTGCGCAACTATTTCACACCCTGGATAAGGAGGACAGGTAGCGCTGTTGGGTGGCACGCAGAAGGCTGCGGCGTTTAAAAGATAAATGCAGGAAGAATGCAAATGCATTTTAGAGAAAAAAAAACATATGTAATTAATATGGCGAGAACATGAATTTCGTAATGAATAAATATACTTAGTAAGATTGTTTTGCAAGAAAGACATGCAATTAGAGATAAAATTACATAATTAATTGCGTATTACAAAAGTAACAAAACAATCAGAGCTGTCGTTATAATAAATAATATTAATTTAAAAACATTTACGGAAAATCTGCTAAGGTTGACAGTCGATCAGCTTCTAATCTAATTACATTCGTGTTTATCAGTCAGTGATGTAGTCTGAGAGATTGAAATGTACTCATGATTGTAATTGTATTGAGATGCCAGGGGAATTTCTTATTTGCACATACGTACAGCTTTGTGTACACGCGTATTAATTGCACATGCGAGTGGGATTGTGAGAATTCATTGATCGGGGCATGTCTTCTCCACCCCCTTGTAGCTTTAGAATTAAAAAGCCCTGATAATATACGATATACCAGACGAACCAGTGGGATCACAGATTCACATCTCGTTTGCATGGAGCGTCCTGGCACGATGACGGCAATACATTAGTGTCACATAAAAGGTACAAAATCAGCAAACTCATCACATTAATATTGCACACGGGAGTGATCGATCACGTTAGATGTGTAAAACCCGGGCGGTTACTATGAACAAATCACCTGAAATGCACCCGATCTCAGATCATGGAAGATCAACAGATTTGAGCCTGGATATTATAATGGATGTGTGCAGTAAGCATCTTGAACTTCTTTCGCACCGTACGTATCCGACCGTACTAATCAGAGGGTGGACCAGCAGCCCTGCCACAAACAAGTTGTGATAGTGCTGCAGCCTTACGTCTTTGCGCAGCATAGGGCAGTGCAACAGAACGCATTGTTGCACGCTAATTGAACGCTTCCACATCCACGGTCCCCAACTGCACCAACGCACTGACCAGAGTGACGAAGCAAGCTCGAATGATCCCGACAGCCCGCGCGACTGTCGGGAGGCCCTCATCCGGCATTCAGCAGTGGGATTTGACACACAAAAATTGGCGTACATGTACGCGCGTGCGACTTAAGGGTATTAAAAATAAACATTACATTGTAAAAAAAAAATGGTGTAAGTTTTTTTTTTAATTAGTTGGACGGCAGTAAAGTTAGGTGGCAAAATAGATACGTGTTGAATCTTGTTGGTACGTGGTTTTTAGATGGTCCTTAGTATACAAGCTGATTCAATCAGCGTGCTGTTGGGATCTGACCCATTAAAGCCAGATGGGTATTCTCCTGTGTAGAACCACTTACCATCTCGTGCGTGCACGGGCACATTGCACGTTTAGACAGTGGTGCTTTGAAACCATTGAAATGCTGAATTTCTGAAGTAAATTAGGTTTTTTTTTCTCACCACTCAAAAAGCCTGGAAATTCCATACCAAAATCCAGCCCTTGCTCTACTCGAACCAAGTGTTCAATGGCTATTGTTGGAGGGTTTATTGTTATTGTGGGTCAGACACACTCATTTCATGACAATGGTGACATGTAAAACTGACACGGCTACCTTGACGAGGAAGGGTTTTTTAAAGCAACGTTCCCCCAAGAAGGCGGCATTTGTTGATCTTCTCGTGCGACCCGTCAGTCTCCTAGTGATTCTAATTTGCTCGTGCATATGATGAGTCGAATAGCAAGTGGAGCCCTCTGGAAACGTGCGTGTGTGACGAAGACCCCTCCCATGTACGGTACCGCAGGGTGCCTCTGACTCAAGGTACATTGATAATGACAGCAATTGCATGGTTGAGTAGCCTGCCGCTCAAATAACTTTCCACTCAGCCAATGCATACCTGTCAACCCCTTATCAGTGCCCTACCTTATTACAGACCAATTCAGACCTCATTGTTCATCCCGTGCCCTTATAAATCTCAACGTTCATCCCACAAAGTCCCATCACAAGGGAGAAACACAAACAAATAGACCAACAAAAATGTCCCCGTATTCAAATGGCTGTAGACCCTGTACAAGTATAAGGGTAAACCGTATGGGTTGACAGGTATGCCTATGGCTCAACGATTGTATTAATTTCGTCCAGAGATCACGCACAGAGGGAATTATCACAGCGTGTCATCTGTGGACACTGAAGAATCCCATGACAATGTTCTGTCCACCTCCCCAGAAACCATTGACACGTTGTACCGGGTGTGTGCGCCTTCCATAATAAAAACATAATTTTAAAAAAATAACTCCGTGACATTGAGGGGGCTGGGTCACTCACGGGTCAGAGCAATGATCCAGCATCTTTGAGATCGAGGGTTCAAGTCTATGTTTTTGCCACGTGCGATTAAACTGGGTTCTCAAGCTTAGCGAGTTGATGGTTTCAGCCTGGTCTTCGATGACTGAGAAATAACACGTATCATTGCGTTTGGTTTTGCACTGAATATGACTAATTTCCAGCTTCGAGAAATAAAAATGTCAGTTTGACTACCACGAAATTAACATTTCACTGCAGCAGGGTGTATTGTAAATTGGCATCTGGATTAATAAAAGGTCACTTTAAGGGAATTCAAAGAGAGTTGTGTGATATTGCATTCAACAGACCCTTCTATTACATGAGCTTTTTAATGCCGTGTAAGGGTTCAGAATTAGGCATCATTTTTTCATGACATATGGATGTTAGTGCAATTAGATTAAAATATTATGCTATTTCCAAGTGTTATTAAGGTTTGATATATTGAAGAATGAATCGCAAAAAGTGCATTTGTTATGGTGACATCTGTGTGTGGAATTTTCAACCATTAGTAAGTGCATGGTTGTATGAATATGCTTTTACGAAATCATTGTTTGCGTGCAATGTGACGTTGCGTTGCAATTTAAACGCCGCTTGTTCACGAACGTCAAAACGTATACAGCCCAGTGGTGTCTTTTTCAAACCACAGTCCTGGCAACCCTTCCACAGTGAGCTGTTCTCGGAGTCACCGGTCGTTTCGATCGCTCTCCGATGTGTTTCGGGTTGTACCGCGCATTTTTCTGGCATGACAGTCATGTCCAACATTTCCCTCCGTCTAGCTGGGAGCTTCGTAAGTATGTATGTTGAACTCTTTCGCACTGTACTTAGCTAACCGTGCTAATCTGAGGTGCGGCAGAAGGTCAACAAACTAAACACAAAAAGCAGTTTCAAAGAAATGAGTTTTCAATTTAGATTATTTAAAAGTGCATAGCTCCAGTGGCGTCCTAGTATTGGAATAAAGAACATTTTAGACGATCGCAAAAGCCCATCTGAAAGCGTGCGATGCAATGACCGGCTTTGTTCGATGGCCAGCGAAAAGCCACTGCACGAATGACCGGAGTTTACTTGATATTTGATGCTCCTTGACGAGATAAGCAAGGTATTGTGGTTCATATTCATTCGGCAACCAGAAGCCAACTCAGCTCAGTGAGTACTGGATGGACACCGTCATATCTTGCAGTAAAGGGGTCCGAGCAATGAGCCAGGACTCCTGTGAGTGGGTGATTAAAAAAGCTCCCAACACGTGGAGCGAAACTATTCAA